ATAATCGGGACCCCGTCCTCAAGTAAATTGATCTACAGCTACAACTTACGACCACAAGCACCTAGAATGTCCCACAGCACTGGAGCATCGCCTCGAAGCATCGAGTCACCACCCCACACCGTGACCTGACGAATCCGGAAAGCTCTGCGTAGTGTACATGCATTTTTGCTCGAACCTGTCCGCAAATACACCTCAGGTCCAAATACTTTAAATTCTGGAAGCTGTGCCTTGCTGCAAATTGGCATGCTGTTTTTTGTTGCAGGATTTGCTTTGCAGTGGTTCGACGCTTGACGTGGCTTTGAACTGGGGTTCCGACACGAATGTGAGACTCCCGCAAGACCGCATGCTCCCAGCAAGCAGCCAAAGCATTCCTCGCAACGGCCAGCTTGCGCTCCCTTTCAAACTTTCGCACCTAGCAGGTTCCAAACTCCGAAGGAGTGCAGCCCCAGTACGATGAACAGTAGCTTGAATCTGCTGCTCCAGTTCAGAGTCGGTCCATCTCAGGGATGTGGAAGAGGAAGGATGGGCGTGCAAGTCGCACAAGGAAAAGGAGGCTGACAAGGTTCGATGGAACAAGTGGCATTTCCGAGGAGGATCCGCCTGCCAGCAACTTTGTAGTCACGGATGGGAATTTAGCGACAGCCATGTGCAAAGCCGGCTTTGAATGAGCCGTTTGATCTTTCCTAGGCGTGAGTGTCTATCCTGATGTAAATCAAGCTGGATTGAGCGAGATGGTCATGTTGTGTAGCGTCGGCGAGACGGTGGAACGCGGAAACAGACAACAGACGTTGAGAAAAAGCAACTCGAAACCAGTCGCAGAACTTATTCACGCATCGGATATGGCGTCTTCTGTTTTCGATAGGTTTCTTTCTTGCAGGTTAGGCTCATCATCTCGATAGCTTATGGCTGTCCTTGTGATCTGCTAGCATGACCTGCCTGCGTGGAGGAACTCATTACATCTTCACCGAAGAGAGCTACAAGGATTTAGTCCTGGATTGCCTGGAACTTACATGTGTTGCCGTAAAGCAAGGAAACATAGGAGAGACATGTACCGAGCAGCTGGAAGGCACATCCGTGCCAGAGGGCTGTACTGACTCCCTTCAGCTATCTAGCATGTGAACACGAAGCGCTTGAATTTGGCCAGCCGACCGACCAGCCGACTATGATGCCAAACGTGTTGGTTGAAACTTGTCGAGTGTATCCCATTTGCAAAAGTTGTCTTTCATTGAACAGCCTTGCAGATTTGAAGCATGTGGTGCAGTTCTTTTACTTCTTGTCTCTAGCTTTCAATTCGGCTTGTTTCACGAAGCCGTGGTTTCACGAGCATGCGTCACGGAGCTGCCAGGTCCTTTCGGTACGAGAGCAATCTGCTTTCCATCATAAGGGCATCCAATCCAAGCAAGACGGAAACCTTGTGGATGCCAATGCTCAAGCCAATCTGAAGCAAGGACTGAAGCTCAACGAAGATGTTCTCTCTTCGTTTGGACGTTCCCGGCAGCAAATGCAAAGAATCCCGCACTAAATCCTGCATCTAGGGCTTCCCTGAACCCTATGGTCTAAACCGTACCAGAACTCCCTTCTGCGCCCGAGGCCTGGCGCCCAGTGGCTGCATCTTCCTGGGGGGTGGCGACAGCAGCAAGAAGGACCGGGCAGGTTATCTAAGTCACGAAGGTTTAGTTGTGCTGACATCTCGCACCTGATGCCACCGGCAACGTGACGACGACAACTACTGCTTACTGCTGCTGCTGCTGCTGCTGCTGCTGCTGCTGCGCTGCTTCTCCGCCTCCTCCTAATCGTCTGCGACTACGACTACTGATCTACTACTACTACTACTACCACAACTACTAGTAATAGTACTAGTACTAGTACTAGTACTAGTACTATGAGTACTACTAGTACTAGTACTAGTAGTAGTAGTAGTAGCAGTAGTAGTAGTAGTACTACTGCTACTACTGCTACTATTACTACTACTACTACTACTACTGCTACTACTACTACTACTACTACTAATACTACTACTACTACTACTACTACTACTACTACTACTACTACTACTACTACTGCTGCTACGACTACTACGACTACGACTACTACTACTACTGCTACTACTACTACTACTACTACTGCGACTACGACTACTACTACTACTAGTACTACTATTATTACTACTACTACTACTACTACTATACTACTACTACTACTACTAGGCCGGTGCCCCTTCCTGGACCCACCTCCCGTGCATGTTTCAAGCCGCAACTATGAAATGCTGAGGATGATGACGAAGATGATGTTGGATGTTGTCACGCACATTTCCGATCGACTCGAAGGGGGGGTGGGGGGGGGTGGGAGGGGGGTGCGGGGGCGGCTTAATGACGTCCTGTTTGGCATGAGTCTTGAACACTGCAAATTTCCGATCGACTCGGGCGGGGGTGGGGGGGGGGGCTTGATGACGTCCTGTTCGGCATGAGTCTTCAACACGGCACGGCATGAGTCTTGAACACTGCATGCATTGTCGCAGCAATGAGTCCTTTTCTTGCTGTGGCCAAGATGGATTCCGTGAACCATTCGAGGCCTCAGAAGAACGCAGGACCTCAATGAACAAAGTTCTGCAAGCACAAGGTACCCTCAAAGGGTGTGAAGCAAGTGCTTGCCGGTGCTTGTGGTCTGGACGGTCTGTCGACGTGGATGAAAAAGTCTCCACGGGGTTTCTGCTCAGCACAAAAAAGCCGTTGAGCTTCGGGTCATTCGGGTCCGTGAGTTCCAGTGGAAGCACTGGAATCACCCGCAAGACCTGTGGCGTAGGATCGGAGACGTCATGCGCCATAGCGACACGCACGGGGGGTGAAGACAAAACGCGTCATCGGCGTAGTTCAAAACGCCAGTTTTAAGCCCAAAATCACCGTTTCAAAGACCCGAGCTGGTCCCCCAAAACAGGGTTTAGCAGCTCCATTCCGCAGTGCACTGAAGTCTGGAAACATACGGCCTGGCCAGTACTTTCAGCACTTGCAACAAGCAGCGTACATTCCTATTCTTCTTAAAAGGTGGGTCCACCGCGGGGCAACGGGCTACTACTACTACTACTACTACTACCATCATTACTGCTACGACTACTGCTACGACTACTACTACTACTACTACTACTACGACTACTACTACTACTACTACTACTACTACTACTACTACTACTAGTACTCCTACTACTACTACTACTACTGCTACTACGACTACTACTACTACTACTACGACGACGACGACTACTACTACTACTACTACTCCTACCACTACTACTACTACTACTACTGCTACTACTGCTACTACTGCTACTGCTACTGCTACTGCTACTGCTACTACTACTACTACTACTACTACTACTGCTACTGCTACTACTGCTACCGCTACTGCGACTGCTACTACTACTACTACTACTACTACTACCGACTCGAAACTACAACGACTACGGCTCGTAACTACGACGAAACTTACTACTTGTACGACTACTGGTACTGCTGCTGCTACTACTACTACCACCACCACTACTACTGCCGCACTGCTACTACTGTAATCAGGTCCAGCCTTCGTAGGAAACTGCTGCGTGAACTGGTCGTGGTCTTTCGACATTGCATCATAGCAGATTGCACTGCTTTTCAGCAGCTCAAGCAACTTCACAAAAGAATTTCTTGAGGCAAGACGAATGTAGTCGCCATGTTATGTTGTCAACCCAACATAATATCCAAGCTCTCTACAGGCTGTTTACATGTTTGCGCATTGTCAGGAACTCTTGAACATGCTTGTCAGTGGTCAGCCAGCCGCTGCCCTGTCAATTGATGCAGGGTGTTCGTAAAACGCACTTTGGAGAGTTATCTGCCGATTCAGTCCCCGCACATCGTAACATCGGGCTTCTAGATCTGAAGAACATGTAGTCACGCGCCTCGCGGCGAATCTGTCCCAGAACTCTTCCTTCATCTGATTGATTCTTTCCTGCTCCTAATGCCTTACACGGCGCAAGAGCCGAATCGTTTATCATGCACAGTTGCACCATTGCGACGTCGGGTCCATTCGTTTCTGCGAAATCTCCGGGTGAACATGTCGAGAGAGACGCAAGTGCAGGGTTGTCGGAGCTTGGGATCTCAGATGACTCCAGAGCTTGGCCGGGCACGTAACCTGCCAGAGGAATTGGGACTGGCGTCAAGGAAAGCCTGCACCCCTCAGACAAGCACTCGGGGATGTTCCGGGCGTCGGGTTTGTAGATCACAATTTTGAAGTGCAAACCAGGCAGAGGGACCCTGACGATGCAGAAGATAATTATGTTTGCGTTTTGGGTAGATCTGGTTTGTGGGCGCTTGCCACAACACTTCTTGGTGTACAGCTCCGAAGACTGCACGTATCCACCTCCATACATGTATATATGCATAAGAGACCTATACGTATGACTGTACATGTATGTGCCTATATATATTGTCATATACATATACACGCATATGAACATATGTACATGTGCATATGTGTCGCATACCATATGTGTATAGACATGTACGCAGACATGTAAAGAAGCATGAATACGTGCACACACCTGCACGCACACGCACACACACATGCGTATAGATATATGTGTGTATATATATATATATATGCGCACAGATACATACATACGTGCATACATACATACGTAGGCTCATACGCAGGCACACACACACACACGCACATGCATGCATGCATACATAGTATTAAATATTGGGAGGAGGACGCTGTGGACGCTTGTTTGTTCCACACGGGAACACGACATGAAACAGTCCAAACCCTATAAAACAGTCCAAACCTTATCCTGAAAACATAAAAGAGCCAAGACCCATCCAGATGCAGCCATGTGTCCTTGGATGGACAGCGAGAGCGAACAACTCGTCACACATGTTTGCCAAAGACAGTTCCTATCAGCATGCATGGGCCGCAGCACTTTCAGCGATGATTTCCCGAAATCATCCTTCTGTGCTCTGGTCGCGAACCTAGTTGTTCTTTCGAGCACGGACAGCCGACGGGCGCTTCAGCACCTTGCGGGCCCGCCCCAAAACATTAGTCCGTCTGCGGATCCTGATCGGCACAGACTGCAAATTGTCGTTGTAGAAACGACACATCTCCTCGACCCAAAACCTATGTGACAGTGGTCGAAGATTGTTTACAAAGAAATTGAGCCCGCGGACCCATGCATTAAAGCTTTCAGAAACATTGGTCCGGACATTCTTGCACCGCTTTTTCTCGGCGGCTGTCCACACCCGCTTTGCGCACGTGTGGTTGGGGCAATGAAACGCATCGATCACGAAATGCCGCACATTTGCGACAAGCTTCGCATGGTGCTTCTTGGCGAAAGTTTCAAAATGGCACATGTCATCATGGATCAGCAGAGTGGCTGTGACATTCTGCATACTCAGAACTGGCTTCAGGAGAGTGATTTTGTCAGCATTGCACTCGTTCTGCACATGCTCTACCGCTCCTAGCACTCGTCTTGAGTCTGGGTCGACGGCGAAATGCCAACCTGCGGTCCGCTGAGGTAGGGCTGCTCGACCAACATCCTTCCGCTTGCAAGAACAACTGCGTTCGTCGTCCTTCAACAGCTTGAGCTTCATGGGATGACCTTTAAGCTTTACTGTCCGTGGAGCATCGCATTTGGAGAGGTTTCTGTGGAGCCCGAAGTGACCGTCGAACGAGATGGCATTGACAGTCTGAGTGGGAGGAAAGGTCAAGACTTTGTTCAATTTCACGATGTGACTGGCCGGGTATCCGAGGTTGAACTGCAGAGGCACCGAGGGAGATCGTCGTGCCACTGCATATGCCTCCAGTGCTCGCAATAGGAGCTCGCGCAGACGTCGGGAAGACGGAAGCCGATTGTCCGTCTTATGATACAAATGCATGACAGCACCTTCTTGTCCCGGGGAGAGTTTGCCTCGTAAAAGACGAAGGTAGGTCATCTCCAAATACGGAATGGTGAAGGCAGTCTTGGAAGTAATAAAGAGGACGCCGGCATCCTTCATTTGGTCGAGCGAAAGGCAATTCAGGAGCTCCTTGCCGATCGTGAACATGTTGTAACGTGCAGTGTTTCTGCAGCGGTTACAGACCTTGGACGATGTCTGTACATTCGCAATGGTTTCTCCCCCAATGAGAATAGCCTTCACGTTCTTGTCCGTTCTGGCATAGAGTCGCTTACCGCACATAGGGCAGTCGTCACCAGGGAAGGTGTAGGTCTTGAGAACTTTTTGATCCTTGACACAAGCTTTCCGGTGAGAGCTGCGAGCGAAGGCTGATGGACGTTTCCGGCTTGTGGCGGCGGACGGACGTTTCATGGCGACACGGGAGCCTACGGCACGTGGAACAGAAGAGCAGCTACGGGACATCTGCTTGGAGGCATATGCAGATGAAACAGAATGCAGAGATTGCCCAGACAGCAGCTTCTCATGAAACTCAGACAATCAATTCAGGATGGTGTTAAAGCTGTTAATATGCAAGATGTTTGCATTTCCGCCTTTCATACAGTCACTGCACGAAGATCTGACCTGGCTCAGTTGTGCATGTCACGGGCTGCTTGCTCATCAGGATCGTCATCGCAAGCCGTTGCCGGAGGTTCCATCGTCGAGGATGCCATGCCCCCCGCAATGTGGGTGGGTGTCTCCAAATTCTCCCCGATCTCGGAGGTCATGGAAGTCTTGCTGGTGAGGCGACGCTTTGGAGGAGGATATTGGAACTGGCCCATTCGCCCAGGAGGATTGACGCAAGCCACGGGCAGAGCTTCTGGGAAAGGAACTGGGACTGCGGTCTCCTCGTCGGTGGATGGCGAAGCAGGAAGATGCACTGCAGTGGATGCGCGAGTCAAAGAGCCGATCTTGTCCGCAATCTTTTGATTGATTTCGGCCATGTAAGTTTCTGGACGACCGGCCGTCTGCATAGACTCTATGCCCTGAAGCAGGAGTTCCTGCTCCTTGGCAATGTCTGCCTCGAATGTAGGAGGCGGCTCATGGATGCCAACTTTGTACTTGGCGTAGAAGTCCTTGTCTCGCGGTGTGAACAGATCTTCGTGCAGGTCATCTACTCGAATGCAGTGGATAAGGGCATTGCGATCCTGGGAAGGCAGACGAAGATAGGTTGTACGCTTGCCGAAGATGAACATGATGCAACGTTTCAAAACAGCCATCATGTCGGCCTCCTTGTAGCCTACGAAGAATTTCTTGACGAGATTGAAGAACTCTTTTGGCTCGATGGAGGTATGGTGTTTGTCCGGGAGTGGTTCGTCTTCAGGTACAAAGTCGTTTGCAGCTAAGGCCCGAAGGCCGTTGGCGACGAGCTTCACATCCGTGTACCGACCCGAACAGTTCTGATCTTCTTCAGAAGTTAGCCACGATTTGACATCCGCGGGCTCCATTTTGTCCATGTTGGGATCATCTAGTATCAAGCCCTCGTGGATCTGTGCATTGCGATGCCTGAAGTTATCCATGGCCTTGGCCCTCCTCCACCCAGGAGAAACTCCCTACAGTTCCAGGCGATTGATGTGATACCTGCCGATGGCCAGAGCGAGAATGATGAGCAGAGGAGTCTTCCCAACTCCCGGCCATCCGATGGTCACAATTCCGAAGCTAGTCAGTAAGGGTGCAAACAAGGGGAAGAGAAACTCTCCCATGAATGGCTTCATACTCTTGGTGGTCATTGGGAAGAAGCGGCACGAAGATGCTCCTACATTCGCACGACTTTTATTCTGAGCCATCCGGATGATCTTGCCCTCCGGCCAGCCCGCAATTGGCGAGCCACTGTCCGCCTTGATGTTCGTCAAGATCCACAGGTATTGCTGGTTCTCCGAATCGTCTTCTGGGGCATTCTTGTTCACGAAGTCAACGCCTTTGACAAGCTCGTCATCGGAAGCGGTCCATGCTGTGGATTGGGCACGCTTGAGTTCCTTTTCACAAAGAGTCCACCAAACGACATGATGTCCCGGAAGACGGCCAAGGAGAGCATGGACTGCCTTCTTCCAGCTCCACGGTCCCTCGCGGTAAGCGAAGAACAATGGAAGCCCGGTGCAGAAGCCCTTTGCTTCCTTCGCAGCAACCTTGGCCGTGAACCTGATGATCCGCAGAACGTCCATGGTCCCGTCCTGCAGATTGTGAATGATGTAAGAGACGGTAGCTCCGTGTGGCAAAGACGTCGACGGCTGTAGTCTAGGCGGTAAAGCTGAATAGTCCTGATTTGACAGACGTTCACATACTGAAAGCAAGTTCCCAAACTCAGCGATCTGGTAGTGTGCATCCAATACAAGCACGCATGTCTTTGGAAGGTCACGACGACAAGCATGCTTCTCAAGATCTGACAGCCGAATGCACTCGGAGATGTCCGCCTGGCTATTGTTGACATAGACTGGCGTCGAGTGCTCTTGAATGGTCCACTCCTTTGCGGCGTACTTGGCCATGGCATCATCTAACAGCCTGTTATGCGGCGACGCCATGTTGCAGCGCAAGAAATCGCGAGGAGCTAACACCACTATCTGTCTCGGCTTAAGGGCACTAGACGCAAGACAGATTCAAGAAAGTTTGCAATCGTTTGCAACATGATGTGTCCCACGGAGCATTCAAATGTGCATGATTGCAGGCGCTTTTCGCGGATGCGCCGTGCGACATGCCTTATCCATCATGGGCCCCCAATGCATCATTAGCAATGTACAGGTCGCGGCTGACTTCCTCCAAGTCCGCTTCGAGCACAACGATACGGCGACGCAATTCTTTTTTCGGTGTAGAAGAAGACGATGAGGATGACGATGACGATGTAGAACTATCGCTGCTGTCCTGGTTCATAGCATTGCCGGCGCATTGTTCCATGTTACCGTTCTCGCTCGTGTTCGGGTTGGTGTCCATCGAAACCTTGTTGTCGTCCTCGTGGATGTTCTGCTTCATCAGGTTGGCGGCGTCGTTGGCGATGTTCTCGGTGTCCCGGGGGATGTTCTGCTTCATCAGGTTGGCGGCGTCATTGGCGATGTTCTCGGTGTCCCGGGGGATGTTCGGCTGCATGAGCTTGGCGGCGTCCTCGGCGATGTTCTCGGCGTCCTGGGGGATGCTCGGCTGCATGAGGTTAGCGGCGTCCTCCGCGATGTTCTCGGGGCTCTCGGGCATGGGCTCATCCATCAAGCACAAGGGTGCCCCATCACCATTTTCAATCACCTCACATTTGCGACCGCGCTTGCGTTTTGGCTTGCTCAACAAGTCGAGAAAGCGGTTGTGTGCAACATCGGACCATGGACCAGCAGGTGGACGCAACTGCATTCCAAGCTGAATGTTCCTCAGTTCCTCATCAACTTCCGCACCTCGTAGGCAGTGATTGGGAGACGACTTGGGTGGCAGTCAATCGTACCGCTCTGAATCTCCGTCAAAATCTTCGTGTCATCAGGCAAAGGTTTGAGCACGACCACTTCTGGATTTTCTTTTGGCTGCGACTCTTGCGACTGTTGCAATCGCAAGATGACCTGCTTGCCTTTGAAGATTGCATCACCGGATACCTCCACCGTTGAAGCCATTATTCGACTGGAGAATACGAAGCAAAGAATACAGGAGCTACGATGCTTTCAAGCCGAAGCCTTGCAAGGTGGAGTAATGATGATGTCGGGGTTTGGGGCGTAGGGTTAAGGACTAAGTTTAAGGGTCGTAGTGCTTACCCAAGCAGACCCCAAAAGGCCCAGTTGCTTCGCCGCGATGCAGCCAAGTGACCTGACAGGTAAAGCTCTGTATAGTAGGTAAACATCTATAACCCTGAATGGTGAATTATTCCTACAGGGACACCGGGACGCAAGCACAGGACATTCCAAGAGCCGCGCGCCCCGACTTAATGACTTAAAAAATTTAAGTCATTAAGTCAGGGGCCCTCCCGGATCCAAGATCCAAGATTGCAGAAAAAAGTTTCTTGGAGCCATCTTGGATCCCGCCGGGGCCCTGACTTAATGACTTAAATTTTTTAAGTCATTAAGTCAGGGGCCCTCCCGGATCCAAGATCCAAGATTGCACAAAAAAGTTTCTTGGATCCATCTTGGATCCCGCCGGGGCCCTGACTTAATGACTTAAATTTTTTAAGTCATTAAGTCGGGGCCCTCCCGGATCCAAGATGGATCCAAGAAACTTTTTCTGCAATCTTGGATCTTGGATCCAGCCGGGGCCCTGACTTAGTGACTTAAATTTTTTAAGTCATTAAGTCGGGGCCCTCCCGGATCCAAGATGGATCCAAGAAACTTTTTTCTGCAATCTTGGATCTTGGATCCAGCCGGGGCCCTGACTTAATGACTTAAATTTTTTAAGTCATTAAGTCGGGGCCCTCCCGGATCCAAGATGGATCCAAGAAACTTTTTTCTGCAATCTTGGATCTTGGATCCAGCCAGGGCCCTGACTTAATGACTTAAATTTTTTGAGTCATTAAGTCGGGGCACCGGCTGGGAACACAATCGACAAGGAGCAAACAAGCGTCCACACAAGGAACAAACAAGCGTCCACGGCGTCCCCTTCTGTAAGTATTATGTTCATTCATTCACGCATACATTCATACATGCGCATTCAGTGTTTCTTGCTTCCTTAAGTGCATGCACACAGACTGACAGACAAATAGACAGCTCGATCGACAGGTAGTTAGACAGGTATATGAAGAGGTAAACAAATAGACTGATAGCAAGAAAGACTGATCGATACGTGGCTTGCTTGAATTCACGGCACGGGTGTTTGGCATCCCAGCTTGCTAGAGACCCATGGAAAGCTCCTACGTTGTGAAGCCAGGTTGTGTGCGTCAATCACACCGGGCGGCTGACTCAAGACTTTGCCGCTGGGCTTGAACGAGCGAAGTGGCTTCAGATGGTGTCGCATGCGAGGATCAGCTTGTGGTGCTGTCCCGACGTCCAATCGCAAGTACAACTACGGGGCCAATCCAGTCCTGGACCAAATATGTCAGGCAGAGCAGGCGTCAAGTGTCAGAGTTTAAATTATAGTTCGGATAATTGCATAATCTGCAAAGCGCAAAGACAGGCGCGAGTGCGATGATATCAGCTCCAATGGTAGGATCCTATTTTGCATATGCGGTATGAATTGATTTGTGTGGCTGCCTGCAGGTGGTTTAGGTTTGTGTCCTGCCTCCTGCACGCATGCCGCAATGCGTGGATTTCCTAGAGCCAACTCTTGGTGAACTGTTCGACTACCAATCACCTTCAGTCACAAGACTCCTCAGTCCCCGTGTGTACGGCCTGATGCCTTAAAGCATAGACGCCCGTGCATCTCAGGTGAGATGCTGCTTGGCAGGAAATGAGCAAGCCCCAAATTCCTGAGCTCCACGGAATTTCTGAATAGCATGTCCTGCCATTGCCGGAGTCATGCGACATGCCGGGCCCTACGGTAGCCCCCGAACCTCACATCCTAATGACGGTTTCGCTCTTGTGGTGAGGATGCGTGCGACTTTCTGTCAGAGGGTTCGATGTGCCTGGAGTCATTCGCAGCAGGGAACCTGAGCCTTCTTGGCTTGACGACGCTAACCAGCCAAGCTTGATGGAACAGTTGCACAGACCCTGATCATGAAGCACATGGATACATTCGTGCAGATAGCCGCATGACCATAAAAGTGCAAATCCCACTTCAAATCACTTATACAAATGTGGGTGCACGTGTGAGTTAGTTCCCGTTGGTGCCGCAGCGAGGTCATGAATTCCTGTGTCAGCAGCTCTTTCGAGTGACGCCTGGGCAGCACATAAAGGGTTTCAGGCGAAAGGGGCGAGGGGCATTGAGCACCGCTACGCGGAGCTTTATCCTGGTAAAGCGAGATGCTTGATGAGGTGCTCGCAAGCAGGGCACAGGGGACGGGGCCCGAAGTATCTGAGCTCCTTCTGGCAACTGTCCAAGGGAAACATCTGAGCAGGCTGCTTGGCTGCGATTTGGACTTTGTGTTAAGGACGATTGAGGCACAAGGGAGGGTGCGAGGTTCACAGTGAAAATGGCCTGTCGCATCAGTGGCCACACAACTTGTTCAGATTGCCAAGATGGACAGGAAAGAAGCAGAGGCTGCTGTGTTTCAGCCCGCGAAGATTTGGTTATCCAGGATCTCCTAGCTTTACGAACTTCCAATGTGAGATTCTCTTCATCCTCGAAATCCCGACATGTTAATTTGCATACTCCGTGGATTGGGCGGCCTTTCCAGCTTTCCTTGTTTCGTAAACCAGAGGCCGGAGCCCAGTCAGGCCAGCAGAGGCGGATGGGATCCCAGCGTAAAGTAAGAATTCAGCAGCCGGATATCGTGCGGATAGAGGAAGCAGGGATTGTGGGCGGGTGGTGTCTGGGAGACGTGAGTGGCGGCATTCTACTATCCAGCTGAGTGACGGCTGTAAATCCAATCCTCCGAGGGCTCTCCACCCAACCGATAAAGTTGTTGTTTCCAATTGCCTGGAAACCGTAACCTCTCGTAGTTGAGTAGAAGGGTGTAGAGAAGCAAGTTTCAGCCCAGAGAGGTGTTTCACCCGGGGCCCCTCATCCCCACCCCTCCTCACTTCAACGGTGTGAAGCAATTTCCAACGCATGAGGAGCAAGTCCATGTCATCTTTCTAGTAGACGACACAGATGTTGGAGTTATTGCAAACTCGCGTGAGCTCGCCGTCATTGCTCTTGTGCAGCGTGGTGTCTGACCGCTGGTACCATTTTCCCAGTGAGCCTTACGAAGCTTCAACACATGTCATGCGGGCTCCACCTGTGTTTTTGTGAGTTCCCTTCTTTTGGCTTGTTCTTTGCAATGTAGTTTCGGCTGCCTTATAACTTATAACTTATAACTATAACAAGTTTCTCCCTACCTGTATGCGTTTGGAGTGAGCTATGTTGCAAATATAAGCTGCATAAAAGGGGTTGCTTTCATGTAACCAATAGCCGAGCACTTGTCAGCACACTGAAGTGTCCCCAAAAGGGGCATGAAAGATGGAACGAATAAGAGCTTGTCACGTTGGATCGCAACCAGGCATGGTTTCCAAAGCATGCACATTCCACATCCTTTTACACTTGAGTCATCACATGCAGGATGAATGAAACCTGTCTTGCCGCAGGGGTGCAAAACAGCGTTCGATACAGAGGTCCGAGAGAAGCGCGTACCTTGGCTGAAACCCTTTTTCGAGAAACATCAAGGGTTCAGGGAGTTGTGCAGTGGTTACGGGAGCATTTGTGTCGAGCGCGTTTGGGCACGGCGTGGCTCCCTGCAGATGGCTACGGCAGTCCTCACTAGAGGCGTAGAATGTTTGCACATCTATGTTCCAAAGCCTCAGCAAGATCCCGGCAGCTGGTTGGTGGGTTTCCTTCCTGTTTGGCTTCTTGGGGCCGAAACCACGACTGGTGCAATTGCTGCTTCGGGGGTGGCGCAAAGAAAGGAAAGCTACAAGTAGAAAAGGCCAGCACGTTCACTGTTAGGCGAACGGTAGAAGGTTCGAAAGAACGCCATGAAGTACTGTTGGGA